GATCAAACTAGTTATTCTTCTTTTCACTAAACAAACAAAAGAGATACTGCATATATTTTGCGCCGTAGATAATATTCCTGCGAATATATCCCACCAATGGTGAGCCGACGCCTACACTATTAGTTTTAGCCACATGTAAAAACCTTTCTTTGAGCCATGCAGGTGGACACTGTTAGATCAGACACGTTTAGACTTATGAGACTTGATCATTTCAGTCAACTCTATGGGCTCATTCAAATGCGCATTTTAAATGATCCAGAGAGACTCGCCATGGTACGTGCAAACTTGCCATTGTACAGTAGTAAGGCGAGATTCAGAACTATAATTAGTCAAACGATAAGTCTGGTTGTTCCGAGTTCACAGATGTACACCACACACACATCCAGAGAAAGGCACCTTAGGTACTTTTTATTGTTGCTCTAACCTAGTTCATGAGTCTAATCACACAATACCTTGTCTCTGGTTAAACATGGGTTAACATGACATATTTCAGCATACATATCACTCTATCAGCTGTCTCACATAGTTGCATGTTATATGTGAGATTTGCCTGTGGCTCAAACCACTCACCCTGTATATATATTTTTTTTAAACCAGTGTCCTTGTACAGTTATTAAAGGCAAAATGTGATATTTGCATAACTGTGGTTGCCTTCATTACATTTAGTCAATTCAGGTTTTACAACTACCCAGTAGGAACTGGAAATGTTCCATACTCTCCTCCACTCATGATGATTCGATGTAGTAACCACCCTCTGGCAGCGCTCCTCCTGCAGCTGTGCATGGAAAAATTGCAAGGTACACAGGAAAACAAGTTCAAAGCTTCAATTATGTTGGAGAGCGTTTCTTCTGTGCTCCCCCACATCTTTCAGCTGCCAGTTTATTTCTTTTATCAGTATTTTGACCATTTCTTCTTGAGTCATGACAACTGATGGCATCCAGACTCCAACTTGAGTAACTGCCAACGAAGCACGTCTCCTCCTTCTCCTTAATTGGCAGTAAAATCAAACTTCGTTCTCCCCTTTTTTTTTTCTCTCTTTCATCTGGTTTAGCATGTACCGTTCTTATACATGTTACACAGTGGGGTTTCCACACAATTCTAATCTGACATCCTTTAGGTACCACTGGGATGGTTTTCCTGTGGTAGCATGCCCGACACTTGACATAGGACAGTCAGTTGTGCCCTATCAGGCAGCTTTTGTGTTCCAAAAGTCACTTTGCACTCAGATCTTGCTTGCATTTTTTTTTTTCAACCAAAGTGAACACCTGATCCTCCTCCAAGACACGTCCTGGTGTTGCTGATGAGGCGTTGTCCATCTGCAACAAGGCACGTGATGCCCAAACAGTCTGCACTCCCATCTGACTGGCACCTTGTCACCAGCTTCTCATGTTGTCCTCTGGGCGGTCCCATCCAGTCCGCAAAGATCAATGAAACATCAAGCTGTAGAGGCAAAAAGTACTGCTTACAGATAGAGGAAGAATCATTAGTTTTCTCTTATATAACACTTGTTTACAGATACATTCACCCATTTTTCTTCTCCAGCATATAACACCGAGACAGTGGCATCTTTTCCCTGTGCTATAATTTCTGCTGCTCGAGGTGGGCCATTCTCCTGTCTGACCCAAACCTTGGCTCCCACCTTGTCAGTGGACCCAAATCCCCCTGTCCCTCGGACAGTAGGATGAGTGGGTGTTGTAATTTCTACCACTGATGACATATCACATGGTTTAATCAGTAACTGTGCCACTTTATCTCCTTTTTGCAGCACCAGGGGATCATTGCCCTGTAATCTGCAGACTACTCCCAGTTCTCCTTGGTAGTCTGAGTCAATTACTCCAGCCTGGATTGTTAACCCTTTCAGGGATAAAGCCGATCTGGGTAAGATGTGCCCATACATTCCTTTCGGGCATTGCAGTCCCAAACCTGTCTGTACAACTTGAATTTGATTTGGGACTAGGGTGATAGTTTCCATTACTCTTAAATCCAGTCCTGCAGAGCCAGGCGTTGCTCTGACTGGAAGTTCTGCTCTGTCATCAATTTTCCACATACTAATTGGTTCTTTTTTTCTTCTTCTGGAGTATCATTCAATTTAAAGGAGTGGTGTCTGGTACAATGGGTCTGTTATTCAATTGAAACACAGCCTGCAACAAATTTACTTTTCAGTTTGTCAAATCATGTTTTTCATTTTCTCAGCATTTCTTTTTTTTTTTTTTTAACAGTTCATTCATTCTCTTAATCAGCCCAGCAGCTTTGTGGGTGATAAGGAAATATGATAAATCCATTCAACATGTTTTTCAGCTGACCAGTCTTTCACCTGTTTTCCAGTAAAATGGGTCCCATTATCTGTTTGTATCTGAAGGGGACCCTCATAAAATTATTTCATCATACTAAGACATTTTAAAGTAGATGTCTGATTTGCATATTTACAAGGATGAGTCACCAACACACCTGAATATGTATCTACAGCCGTACATACATATCTACACCCCTGTGACATGGCAAAGGGCCAATGAAATCCGTTTGCCAGATCTGATATGGCCCCTTTTCCCCTATTTGTCCCTGCATTTACTATTGTGACCCTCTCTTCTAATGCTGCATGCTTCACATCGTTGTATTGCAGTTTCATCATCTGTCTTGTTCTTACAACTAATCAAACAATTCTTCATACATAACCACTTCATGCAAAAAGTGTCAACAATTAACTTTTATTTATTAAAAAGAAATCCTTCTTCTAATCTTGGCCCCACTCAGAATGTTTAACTCATCAGTTTTTTTTTTCAAACTGAGATGTTAACTTTTTCCACAGAACCCCTCTTGAAAAGAGCTGAACTTTCACTTTAAATGTGAAACATCTGCAAAACAAGATGGTGAAATTCTTTTTATCTCAGATATTTTTGGATACTTCTAGAGTTGTTTTTAGATGCTGTCAAAACTATAGCTGCAGGTAAACAATTTATAAACAACATATGTTGCACTTCCTTCAAAGCAACCAGCTTAACACATCCAAACAACATATTTATTTCTAGACATTTCAAATCCATCCTTTTCCCCTTAAACCATCTTGACTTTAGGCATTTTAATACATCCTTAGTGGCCCAAAATGTCACATCTTGGGCCTTTAATGGCAACCTCAGATGTCTTAATTTCTCCTTTGACCTTTGGCATTTTAAAATCAATATCACCTTCAAGTTTTGGGGCTTTTTAATTTAACGTCAAAATCTGGGCTCTCTAATTCTGGACCTTTGATGTTCAATGTTTGACAATATCTGCTTTTCAGAGTGTTGATGTCAACTTTTGGACCCTACTTTTGCCCCTTTAATCCAAATAATGGCTTCCAGCCCTCAGCTCTTCAGCTGACACATCATCCATCTCAGCTGCAGGCACTCCTGCCTGCATTAATGCCCTCCAGAAAGCAGAACGAGTAAGTTCCTGCATGTTTTTCCGGCCGTCCCTTCTCGGCCCACGACCCATGGGTTGGCTAAATGATTTTTTCACAGTTTTCAGCTCTGTGTTCCTCTCTGTGCTCCAATCTCCGAGTGCACCCAGTTCCAACACTCTGAATCTACAACCCAACGCACAGCGAGCGCATTCCTTAGCCCATTTCTGCTCGCACTCCCCTAAGGTCGCCCAATGACCCTGTAAATCAGACCAATCCGATGCTATCTGTCGGGCTGTTTCTACACAAACTTCAAACAACGGTCTCGAGTCTTGCAAAGCTCTGACTCGATGCGCTGAATTCATTACCTGACCTCCACCTTTATCCAACAGCCTCGATACTCGAGCATCTGTGGGTTGTGATATTTTAGACAAGTAAACAACCTCTTTGCCTCCCGAGATGTTACTCGACGGATCCCAACCGTCATTCAACCTTGCAACATAAGCTCCGACTCGCTCCGGCGAAACATCACGCTCTTTCTTCCTCCTTTTAAGCCTGCATATCTGACCGACCGCGCCCTCAGCTACTTTAATCATGCGGTCTAGCTGTGCTGTCAGCAACTGCACGTGCTGTTTCTGAACCATGCACTCTGTCTGTGCATCAGATAACAACTGTTTTTGTTGTAAAAACTGTTTCTCTTTCTCCTGAACTTCCTCTACACACCTTTTCCATACAGTCGCTTTCTTTCTCTTGAATTTTCCTCGCAACCGGGACACCTGCTCCACCGCCCTGCTTATTCTCACAAACTGAGCACCGAGCCGTCCATTCAACAAGCAGGCGGTCCTCACATTCTTGTTTGCTCCGTTGAGCCTGTAATTGCATTTTCTGACTTTATGCTGAAGTCCTGTCACTGGTGCCATCTTTTCTGACCTCTATTGCCTGCAAAAGTGGTCAAAACATCACTCGGACTATCTGCTTGCAGAAAAATTGTTCTAACAACTAAGATGGGCTTCTTCCCACCTCTTCAAAAACAACAAAAACAACTGGGATAGGACTTCTTCCCATCCCGGTACAACTTTTTCTCTGTTCCCCTCACGCCTCCTCAGGCGTCTGGATCAACTTTTCCCTCCGTTCAGCTCACGCCTCCTCAGGCGTCTGGATCAACTTTT